GACCGATCTTGGTGCGCTTCCATTGAGATGATTCAGCTTTGGTTTCCACGTCGTAACCATAAACCCACGTCACCAGTTATGACCCCCTGGAGCAAATTTGGGTCGTCGCGGACAGAGTTTAACATCTCATTAGCAATGTTCATGCGATGCTATTTTTGGTCGCATTTGAGCAATTTTAGTACGAATTTTGCGGCGACCCATCTTATGCCCAAATCATTGATAAAAATCGAATGGCACGAGCCAATCGATATGTTTAGGTCCTCAGCAACTTCTCCACTTCATTAATTTTTTCGTCTGTTGTTGAAGTGCTCGGGCGTCCGGCACGCTCTTCGTCGTTCACATCTTCTCGGCCTTCTGAGAACATTTTGTTCCACCGATAAACGTTGCTTCGGTCCAAGGTAGATGCTCCGTATGCCACAGTCAACATTCGGAATGCATCCACGCACTTAATTTAGTTTTTCACACAAAATTTGATACAGGTTCTTTGATCCATTTTTTTGAATAGGTAAAAATCGAAGACGATCCAAAACACGTGCAAGCAAAGCAGCTGTCAACAATTCAGGGGTTAATACCATTACCATACTGAACCGATTTACTTCAATTTTTTTTTTCAAATGTTCGTAATGAAATTTTTCTGTGCTTGAACGATCGACTTTTCACGCACAAACTTTTTTTTCGCCGAAATGAATTTTTTAGTGAAATTTCTAGAGACCAAAAAGTTCATTTTTAGCATAAAACGTTCCCGTATGCATAAAAAAAATCTTAAAAACGATCGTTCAAGCACAAGGAATTACACTAAACTAATGAAATTGTTTTACTTTTATGGTTTCACCGCAAGGCTCTACAAAAAAAGCCTCTATGGGAAACAGCCACCCCTTAAAAACTATTTAATATTTTTCCACGAAATTTTGCACAAACATTGTTAATAAAGTGTAATATCAAAAAATTAAAACATCCGTGTAATTAAATAATTGCTACACACCTAAAAAAAAATCCGAACTTTCCTCTTATTCTTTGACAAAGAAGGTATATACCCCTTAAGTGAAATTTTTTTTTTTCGAACATTTTTTTTTTGCGTCATGTACTCTAAATATGTCTGGGAATAAGGCTTTAAAAGCATAAAGCCGTCCGGTACTTATTACCAAAGTAATACGCAATTTGGTGACTGCGTGTCAATGGCTGAAATGGCACAACGTAAACTTTTAACGCTTCTACTGAAAAGTCGTGTTTTCAAAGTCGCCGTGCAATGTACATTTCAGAGATTTTATTTAAATCGAATGCGGCTTTTTGCATTATGTTTGAAATAAAATTCTCCACAACATGAATATAACGGTTTTTCATATTTGTTTGTTAGAACATGTTTTTTTTACGAACAAAGTCGAAAAAAAGTGTTTTTTTTTTAACATTTTTTTTAACCTCAAATTTTTTTATGTAAAATTTTTTTTTCAAATAGGAAATAATTCATGTTGTGCGCTGTACCTTTAAGTTTAATGTCGAATTGCTGTTTTTTGTTTAAGACGAGATCCTGGACCTGGAGACTGCACGGCGCAAAGTTCATCCCTCAAAACACAACTCCCATTATTGATCATAAATGGGCTTAATTACAATATTTTTCAAAAAACTTGACTGATTTTTATTGCTCAATAATTTCCTAATAGCATGCAAAAAGAATCACTAAGATTCATTTACTTCCCTACTTGCAATCCACTCCCAAAGATAGGTCTCATTTTAGGCCTTCTAAATGTAAATAAACGCCTGGGAAATAAACTGTTACCTTTGTGCTCTGAAGAAACAATCGAAGCAGACCTGGGGACCACCCTTCGTATTAAAGGGAGGGTGGTCCAAAGGGACAATTTGCGATAATGGTTATCATTTAATTCTATGTTACCCTTACATTCTCTTTTTAGGTTTAACAAATATTTTTTATTTTTTACTACTTACGCTAACTGTTGCCATGACCAACGCGACGGTCAAACTCAACAGCTACACGAACGCGGACTACATTCCCATAGAGAACGGTGATATCGTTATTTGGGATAGTTACGGATACCTACGACATTCAACGAACTTGACAACCTACGAGGACGATGCGGACCAGACGAAAGCAATGACAAGGACCTTCACGAATCACCATAGGACGCAAGTAATAACCACTGACTTAGGACACATTCGCAAATTAGTTGCTACTCTGAAAGTCTACCACAGGGATAATAGGATCATTAACTTGATCGGAACAGCACTTAAAGTCATTTCAGAAACTCCCGACTTTAATGATTAGGAGGAAATAAAGTTTTATCAAAACCAATTAAATAACGCTGAATAGGAACAATCTAAGTTAAATATTACATTTCATGAACGTTTAAAAAGTTGGCAGAGACGAAGAGACACATCCTTTAAAAATCATTTTAAACCGAATTGTTACCACAGACTTAGAAAATATTTTGCTGGGGCTAACCCTAGCCAAACTTAGCATCGTTAGCCCAGCTTTTCTAGATAGCGACGACATAAGCGAATTTAAAGACAAGTAGTAGTTAGTAGAAATATTAGAAGTATCTAGCATAGGCTTTTTTCAAAATTCAGAAATAATACTCTTCTTCAATAAATTCCCCTATTAGCTTAGAGTATGTAAAAAATAATAGTTTACCCGGCTCAGCACCACAACAAGTTCTTGGACTTCGAGAATAAAGACCTAGTTGCCGATTGTGCAGCACGAATTGTCAACATCGGAGGCTGCAAAGCTAATGTAGGCGTGGCAAGGCTTCACTCTTCCAGGTCACTTGAGTCCAGTCACTGTAGTAGACCACGGCACCCTCATTATCAACGACACCAAAGTGACAATAAATTCGGCTTGAAGCAAAAAATATTTGGTCATACCTTGTAACCTATTCTAGCAAGGTATCACTCAACGGCACCTGGTACATAAACCAACTGGGAAGTTCGAGGATACAGCCTGCGGTCTCAGCCATGACCCTGGTAAATATTACAGCTCATCGAAATCGACTCAGCCTCCCGTTTCTCCACGAGCTGAACTTGAGAAATTTCTACCATATCGGGACTCTAAGGTAAAAAATTACAATAGGATCTCTTCTCGGCAACAACATCATTTTCTGCGCCGCCCTATCCTTAAGCTGTGTGGCCTGGGTAGTCCACCATCACCAGACGGCCAATTACACTTCTAAGCCAAGGAGCGACGAAGACATAGAATCGACAGGTCACCGGGCCGGGACTTAAAGTTGGGAAGAGTTAAAACGCGCAGCCAAAAAGCAGAAAAAATGCAAGGTTGCGTACCGGATAAGGTGCCCCACACGCGCAAGGTCGCGCATTTCAGGGGCCAACGCCGCCTGGCCAACTTCGGCACACCTGCCACAAGTGAACGTTGCCGGGCAGAGGCAAAGTGCTGACAGGGCACTTAGCGCTGTCGCTCGATGTAGGTTTGGAACTGCAGCCGTGGTAAAGATTAGATTAGTCCAAATTACGCTCCGCAACCCAAAGCTTGCGAAAAATTAAAATACATAGTAATTAAAAATTATACTTGGCTCGAAAGAGTCAATATTAATAAATAAAATAGTAATAAGCAAATCATAAATTATCCTTAACTGGAAAAAGTTTAGAACAAATAAAAAAATGCTAAGCGAAATACAAAAACGACTTATTAACCTATACTTTATGGGGTTTTAGGTGTCTCCTTCACTGCGTTGCAAACTTCTGACTGAAATAATAATACGCTTTGCTCTGCAAGGGTATACAAATTAAAAGCTACGTTTTCTTCATGCATAACACTGTGCGACAAAATTTAACAAAATCTTTGTTTAAGTTACTTTTTTGATTGTTTTCGTTAAGGTGCATAAATTATGCACAAAAATATCTATGCCACCTTTAAAGTGATACGATTTCTTTTTTCCTGGTAATTTTTATGAAATTATTATTATGAAAATAATTAACACAAAATATTATTTTTTTTTTACTTCCAATAAACCATTATTTTTTTTAAAATTGAATTTTTTTCCTGATTTTTTTAGCTTTTTCAGAGGTATCATCGCGTAATAAGTTCCATACGTAGTCGCCCAGAGTATAGAGCTGGGAGAAAAAAATGTTAAAGCATTAAGATAAAAGCCTAGCGGTATATTTGCTTAATACATTTTAATTAATAGATATTGAACTTGCATGAGCGCTTATAACGGTGAAAAAATATTTCCCCAATATGTGATTATAAGGCTGTGAAATATGCAAAAACGAGCGTTTTTGAGACATTTGAGTGTGCGTAAAAGCTGATTGGCTATTGATATTAACAAATCCACAAACTTATATTCTCATTTTGATTAGTAGAAGTGAAAAATAAGAAAAATCAACTTAAACATTTTTTTGTCGCACAGTGTAATTTTTATTTTCATACATTAAAGTTTAAACGAAATTCAGTATAGTGCTTACTTGCGTTTAATGTCTCTCCGTGTCTCATCCTGTTAAAAAAAAGAAATACCATATGTTAGCTTGAAACCGCATATTCATATTTCAGTGTTCAAAAAATTATTTCGCCCCCTATACATTTTAATCCACCGTGTACTAGTTCAGGTACTAGAACATGGTAAACAAATACTACTTTGAAACTTTTTGATAAATAATAGGAGCCCACATGATTCAAATTATGATGTTGATTATAACACCATAGCCATGGTGTGGAAATAAGGATTAATTCGTGTTTTAAACATGGCTACCTACCTAAAGGCAATCGAAATTTTTTTTCGCATGCGAAGCTATGGGCGCCCTTGCTAATATATGAAATAGTCGACCGATTTTATGAAACTAATTCTTATTTCCGAATACTTTGTTATATCAAAAATCAAATAAAATTGCCATATCGAAATCTTAATGCTTGAACGTAAGAAAACAATTTTTCAAATATACAATATAATGTTGTCCAGTGATTGTATGAAATTTTATTTGTAATTACGTCTATCTAGGATGCTGATCAAGATATTCATTTTTCACTTTTGCTTTTATAGGTGGCAACAGGAAGTTTCGGAAACTGTATTTGAAACAGTCAACTCTGAGACTGACAGAGTTGAACAAAAAAGGAAAGCAAAGCAAAAGCAACATTTTGATACAGATGAAAAAGAATCCGATTGTATACTCCATGGATACATAAAAAAACTTGGAGGATCTTTTGCGTCTTTGTGGCAAACAAAATATGCCAAGTTATATCCAAATAGGTATGTTTTAACTAAATTTTTATATGATCATTTTTTTTAATTTTTAAGATAAGAGATTAAAATCTCGATTCCTCCCATTTAAAAAATTTCTACCACGAGTAACATTCACATCCGTCCGGAACCGTCTATATTCTTAGACTTTGTTATTTTTTTTCTATTATCATTTTTTGCAACTGTAAGGTCTTTTTATCCCACGACCATGATCTTTAGAACATGGATTTTTTTAAATACCCTTGAATCGAGTAGAAATTTCATAAACATTGGGCAAATGTATCATGAAGTTACGATAGGAAATATCGAAAAATCTATTGAGAATTAACGGAAAAATACGGGAAAAAATGGTAAAATCGTTGTTTTTCACCCGAAATGCTAATTTTTGAAATTTAGAGTTTTTTAATGACTGTTGAATTTAAATTTGAATATTTCATTTTCTTTATACGTTTGGTTCTCGAAACCGTTCGATCGCGTGTGATTATTTACTACGTAGCTAAAACTTTAATAATTTGTTTTTTGTTCTTTTGATTTTCTTTTGCGCTTCGTCCGTCAACGCTCTCCCGCTCTTTCTCTTTATTTTTTTTTTTTTGTACAAACAAACCAGAAAGTTCCAGGCGTGCAATTTAGACGCTCTGGCGGTATTTTTGAATGGCTCGCTTACAAATTTCGATTATTTTTTTTCTTGACACAGTGGTCCGTATTAGTTAAAACTTATATTCATTATTAAATGGATTTTATATTCAGGTAATAAAGTCTAAACAGACCAAACTAACTAAGCCAGCAAGGCTTTGTGACAAGATGGTGCACACTAAGTGCGCTGAATTCACAGGGCGGACAAGTGATGACCTTGGTAAAGGCCTTGGTATGCAGTTCTGCTGCGAAGCTTGTCGCGATATTGCGAACGAGATGAAAGGAAAGTGTATTTTTTTTCAGAGCAACACCACTTAAGCTGCCTGAAGATCAGTACCATATTTTTTCAATGTGGCTATCGACACTGGTATAACAGTTAAAGATAATTCTGTAAAGACAGCTAAGCGAATTCATTGTTTTCGCAAGACTAACTTTCTGAGACTTAATATTTGGTACTGACTCGTCCGATCTCTCTTTCTGTAATAATATGGAAGATGCCATTACAATTTTTTATTCCGCAGTCAAACTGTTTGTGTTCTGTTGTATAATCCGTCGACATCCAATCAACCACCTTGGTTTAGCAAAGAGTTGACTCGCCTTACATTTTTTAAGTCCAGACTTTATAAAAAATATAAGGTTTCATGTTTTCAGCCTGTTTTTGGCAAATACAAAAGTGTTCGGGCGAACTTTACCGTGCTTAACTATTATTCAGTCCGTTAAGACTAAGCGCAGATCAATTCTTTCCGCCTTCACTTTCGTTTGCAAATATGACGGCAAATACTGATCAGGCACTAGCCTCAGGGTCTCATTCAAGTGAATCACATTTATACGTCATACCTAAGTCGTCCCACTTTAAACGAAAGCTCCCTTCTTTTGGATATTCATTGTGTTACACCAGTTTACTCTCCAGGTCCTGACGGGATTCCTGGGCGTATCTTTAAAAATAAAGACCTTCTTCACTCCACCCGGCAGTATTTAGGAGCCATTTAGGAGTGGCGAATGCTTTATTATCTTGTCCATAGTAAAGCGGACGAGGGGGTGTGCGGGTCCGGGGAGCCGAAATTTGTTACTATTGTTAGATGAGCGGTAAAGCCTAGAAATTATGGAGATTTGAAAAAAGAGACCGTTTCTTTTTCTCGGGGAGCCTGGGAATCGAACCCAGGTCTTCCGGTTCGGAGACCAGCGCTCTATCTGCCCTGAAGAGGCGTTGTGTCTTAAGTACTGCGCTAATTCAGTGTGTAAACCCCTTCTCAAGCTACCCAATCCCTACAAAGGGAAGGAGTCATTTGTTATTCCCCTTCACAAAAAGGGGAATAAGTCGGATGCAAGCAATTATAGAGTTATTTCTAAATTGTCAGCAATTCCAAAGCTTTTTGAACAAGCAATAACTCCTAGCGCAGGTATACTACAACGAAACTTTTAGAGCTCAAGTCCTTTGTGATAAAGGCTTTAAAAGATTTAAAAATCATTCTCAAACTGATGTAATTTACAAAGACTTCAGTAAAGCATCTGACTCTGTAAATCACTTTCCATCGGCTTCCAGCTGCTCTTTTAAATTGGATCTTTAGTTATCTCAGTGGCCGGACACAAAGAGTCTCCTCTCCTTAAATAGATACCTTTGGTGTACCACAAGGAAGCCAACTGGGACCATTACTTTTTACCCTGTTCATTAATGATCTTCCTTTGGTCATTGTTCCCGAGTACTTATGTACGCGGATGATGTAAAACTGTGTCTGCAATATGATGAATACTCCTGTCATTTAAACCTTCAAGCAGACCTAAGAAATTTTCAAAACTGGTGTCACGATAACTTATTAAATTTAAACAGCACTAAGTGCAAGCTGATGACGTTTTGTCGGGTCAATCCGCATAATGTCACCTATTCGCTAAGTGGGAGAATAACGCTTGTTGACGATCTTGGCGTCCTTTTGGACCCTAAGCTTAAATTTTCACTTCATTTTTCGAACATGGTTAATAAAGCTAGGGGAACGCTTGGATTTATTAAACGATGGTCGAAGGAATTTGAGGATCCTTACGTTACCAAGACTTTATTTATACCGTTGGTCCGACCAATCCTTGAGAAGTAGACCCCTTATGGAGTCCCCAATAAGAAGTTCACGCTGATCAGTCCAAAAAAGCTTTTTAATTTTTGCCCTACGCCGCCTAAATTGGAATGCAAACCTACCCTCCTATCCTAATAGATTGCTTCTTATTAACTTGGCCTCCCTTACTAATCGTAGAACGATGCTTAATACTGTGTTCATTCACAATCTTATACGTGGTGAAATTGACAGTGCTTACTTGTTAAATAGACTAAATTTCTCGGTTCCAAGTAGATTTACTAGAAATTATGTTCTTTTAGTTTTAAATCTTTGTAGATCTAATTATGACGTGCTTGAACCTTTCAGGGTACTTTGTTCGGACTATAATAGACTACACACCTTTTGGAAAAGTTTCAGAAAGATAGCTTTAAAACTGAGAGACTAGTTTGCGCGGAAACGGACAGACGGACAGACGGACAGACGTACAGACGTATTCTGATTCTACTAGTGATGCTGATCAAGAATATATATACTTTATGGGGTCTGAGGTGTCTCCTTCACTGCGTTGCAAACTTCTGACTGAAATTATAATACCCTTTTGCTCGAAAACAAATTTCGACAACTCCGTTGGCTTCTGGGAAGACAATCAAACTTAAACGTATCAAACAAGTTACTAATCTATAAAACAATAATAAGACCAATCTGGACATATGGAATAGAAATATGGGGTGTTGGCTGAAGCCAGTTTTTCGTTTTTTTTATTTTTTGAATTGTTAGAATAAGTATCGTTGAATTTGAAGTTTACTGTAAGTTAGTTTAGGGCGAAGGCGGGAGCGCAATAAAGCTTTTGTTCGCTCTCTGCGAGTTCGCTCCGTCTTCGCCAACCTTCGGTAAGCTAGGCTTAAGTATGATTGTGGAGAATAGAGCATTCGTTGAAATTGAGTTCGATCGAGCGCACGCATTATTTTTCGTTTCGTGGTCGTTTTGCCAATAAATTTATTAATTAGCCACCCAAGTTTCGGTTTTTAATAATTAGAAAAACGCTTCTAATTTTTCATGGCGCCCCCGGGTGGACTAATTAATTAAATAAAAGGCAACAATTTTTTAAAAGTGACAGTGACACAAATAACAAACAATTGCAAGTGATTTTTTTTCTTGTGGTTTTTTCTTGCTATAAAAATTGCACAAAAATATAAAGTTCTTGTGAAGTACATACAAGTTGCCCGCGACGTGTGGTGTTTTTAATTATTAAAAAACAACAGCAAATTCACTCGTGCCGGTCGCGAAATTAAATACCTAATTCGACGTTTCTGCCACCGACGAGGGATGCCCTGCGATTGTTCGAGTTGCAAAAGGAAAGTGGCAGCTGGATTGAAAGATCCAAACGAAGAACCAAAGGTATTTGTGCAAAAAATTGAAAGCTGAGTTTTTGACAAAAAACTAGAAATATTCGTTAATTGTCTAGTGCTGAAAAATTGCACCTCGCTTTCAATTCTTGGCACATATGTACAAAATAGTAGAGCTAGATTGCATGCAAATTAAAATTTAAACAATTTAAATAATGCCAAAAAAGTAGCAAAATATTAAAGCCATTATATATATATATAAATACCTAATATATTTACAAGTGCTAAATTTCTGTATACTATTTGAACCGCCTTTGGATGCAACTTTTGTTTAATTGTGTTAAATTATTGCAATCACTGTCGCCCCCCTTGTTTTTAATTATCGTCAAAACCTCGCAAGTTAATAGTTGGGAAGTTAATCTGAGCCGTTATACACAAATATATAAGCCCTTATATACAAGCAGCTGCAGCGGTAAACTTTTTTCGTTTTCGCTTTCGCTTGGTCGCCGCTAGCAGCGTTGTTGTTGTTGTTGGGTTCTTGTCATTTGGGCGCGCTACAGGTTAACGGACCGTCAAGTGACGCGCTACCCCGCATTCGGTTGGGTATATTGTTTTTCGCCGTCGTTTGCACCCACTATTAATTTTGATACTTCGTGCCTCGATATTCAATTTAAAAATTATTTTCGTTGTTTCTCGCTTTTAAATAATTATTTAATAATAATAATTATTTAATAATTTTTTTTTCGAACAAATTTAATAATTAATAAATTATTATTTTTTTGTGGTTTAGTTCGAAAATTAATCTCATTTAAATTTTTCACACTTGGTCCTTTAATAATTTACTTTAATAAATTTGGTTTTTGATAATTTAATTCAAAAATGAGCCAAGAAAAGCCAAAAAGTAACCTGCTTGAAGACTTGAAAGCCAAGTTACAAAATCGAGTAAAAAGCATTCGCCGATTAAGTGATCGACTCGATTCTGGCGCGA